TGTACAAGTGTACTGTGATCTTCAAAGTCTCCTCTAGACATCTTTGCATAATTTTGCATAAGGGATTGTTACAGTATAATGACTTGCTATTGAGACATGGGATGCCTTTTCTAGTAATAAATTGTTCAGATCCATTTTTTATAATTCTTATTTTATGAACATATTATGCAAATAAAAACTTTGTTTTTTGAAAAAAAAAAGAAATTATAGGATAAGCTGGGAAGATGTGGGGAGAGTTGAGTGTTTAATATGGAACTTTTCCACTAGATACAGTTTTCTCTGTCTTTACTTATACCCTTTGTTTCCTGTACAAAATTTTAATAACTGTCTTCACAGAGCTCTTACAAATTTGTGGTAGGCTTCATATTAGCTATCTTGTGGATTTTGTTGATCTGGTGATTAGGGATTTTCTATTCATTACACTTTCCAGTTGGTTACTGTTGACTTGGGAATTCCTTCACTCTGCTTTGGTTTGGATTTAAAATGTCCCCTGCAAGGCTCATGTGTTCAGAAATGGGGATTTCGGAAGGTGATTGGTGAGTTAATCCCTTGGCATTCATAATTTGGTGGCATTCTTGGCCCTTGATGGAAGCATAGGAGGTGGAGGCTAAATGGGTGAAGCAGGTTACTGAAGGGGTATGGCTTCAAAGACTGTCTTGTCCTCAGCCCCAGCCTCTAGGTAGCCAAGGTTCTACTCCCACCCCCACCCCCTTACTGCCTTCTGTGAAATAAACAGCTTTCCTCCTCTACAACCGTGGTGTTCCTGCCCACAGCAATGGAAATATCCAGCCGTGGTCTGGGCCTTCTGAACCCATGAGCCAACATAGGTCTTTTCCTCCTTTAACTTGTTATATTCAGGTATTTGATCACAATGACAGAACGCTGACCTACTCCATGGGCACTTATTGAGCATCTACCACATACTGGGCATTTTCAGGGCTCTGAGGTTACAGCAATGAATATGTCTTACAAAATTCCTACTTTCATGAGGGAAGACAAAAACCCACAAATCCTAATTAGCAAACCTCAGTAGGCAGGTTCGTAAATCCTAACTGGTGTCCTATGTGAGCAGGTGCTCATTCTGGGATAGCACCATTGAGGAGATGTCCTTTGAGTAGTGAGGACCCAAGCAGAGGGAGAAGGGATCCATCCAGGGAGCACTTGCCAGGAAGACATCCAGATGGTCTTGAAGCTACCTCCAGGGATGACACCACCAAGTGAGGGAAGCAATTAGGGCTTAGCAGCGATCATAAGCCTCTTTTCTGCTGCTGTCACCCCAGATCCTGAACCCTACTTTCTAGCTCTCTGCTCTGCTGTTGGCTACCTCACTCTTATGATTTATGCGTGTCCCCCAAAGCCTCAACATGCAAAGGTGGGGCCTCTGGAAGCTACTGGTCAATGGGGGCTTAGCGCTACCTTGCCATTAGGAGGCAGGGCCTGGTCTGAAGGGGTGGTCCTGGGGGCGGGGCCTGGAAAGATCCATCTCCTCTCCTGTTCCTCTCTTGCTGCTTCAGATCCCCATTCCTTGAGCATCTTTCCTCCTCCAGACCCTTCCACCATGCCATCCTGTTTTGAAGTAGCCAGCTATGGACTAAAATCATGACCCAAAAGAAACGTGTCCAGGTGTCCCCCCAAAGCCTCATGCAGTCATGGGACGGTTTCTGGAGTTTGTGATTGACTCTGGATCCAATGCCATGATTATAGGTGTGAGTGCTCTGGGACAGATACTCTGCCTTACCATGTGAGTCAGGCAGAGAGGCGAGCTAACTCACTGAGCTGCTGCCACTCCCTTTGCTCTCTTGCTTTTTGCCACTAACATGAACTATTGCCCTCTGCCATGTGCTGCTGTGCCTTACAGCCAGCTGAGTATGGACTGAAACCTCCACTAACTGTGAGCTAAATAAACCTTTCATTCCTTTATTTTGCATGTCATTTGTCCCAGCAGTGAGAGAAGAGTAACTGAGACAAAACATCTCCTCCTTTAAGCTGTGGATGTTGGGTATGATAGCATGGAGAAAGTGACTAAGACACATGCCTACTGAGGTTTTTAATTTCCCAAACATCATCAATCCTTATATTTTCACATACATTATTTCGCTTCCTTCTGATGTCAATTACATTTCTATCGTAGGAATTTGTTGCATCTTTTTCTTCACAAAAATTACCTCCTTTCTCTGACAGATGATGTTTCCTATATTTCTCGAGTTTTTCCTGTGTTTTCATTTCTAGCCAGGGGAGTTCCTGTTTACTTATTTTGTCCACCATCCACAGGGCAAGACGTAGCATGGGAGTAATGTCGAGCAGTTGTCTGCACACAGGTCCGCCCCATGTGTTCTCCTGCAGGGCTCCTGCACTGTCTCAATCTTAGCTGTGGCCAAGTGGCCGCTTCTGTCACCCTCACCCTGACAGCCACCCTGGCCCCAGCGCCTTCTCCTGGTGCTGCAGCCCATGGGCCGCGTTCCCCGGGGTCCCTTCTCTGCTCGCTGTGGGCAGTGGCTCCTGCATACATCTCTCCCCAGCTCCCATTCTTTCTATCCCTTTACCTTCAGGAATTTCTCAGCATAATTTTTGCATGAGCATATGTCTGCAACAGGTAATAACTGCAGTCACATTTGGGAAATTCAATCACGTCAAACCTTAGTCTCTACTCCTTTTCCTTCCCAATCCTTGCAGTCTCCACAGTCCCTACTTCCCTGTGTCCTGCTATTTCCTTTTTTATTTTTCTCTTTAAGTCATTTACACTTTCAGTCTCTCATGTTAGAAAAACTATGCAATATTCAATCTCCTGGGTCTTATTTATTTAGCTTATCATTATGGTCTAATCCATTTTGCCAGGCATAGTAGTGGACACTTGTAAGCCTAGCACTTGGGAGGCTAAGGCAGAAAGATTGCATGAGTTCAAGGCCAGTCTGAAGTACATAGAAAAACCCTGTCCCAAAAAATAAAAACAAAGATACATCCATTTTGCTACGACTCAAGTTATCCTTCTTTATGACTGAGTAGTACTCCATTGTATATGCATACCACATTTTCTTTATCCACGCATCTGTTGGTGGATATTCAGGCTGCTTCCATGGTGTAGCTATTATGAGTCATGCTGCTAAAAACATAGGTGTGCATGGGTCACTGTAGTACACCTTCATTTGTATTTCCTTTCCAGTCTTCCTTTCTGTTATGCTAGACTTAAGCTGGTGGCTCACAGAGATCCAGCCATCCCATTTTCTCTCACATTGCTTGGGCCCAGCAAGATAGCTCAGTGGACTAAAGCACCTATTTAGGCAAGTGTAGGCAAGTGCAGGGACTGCGGTTCTATCCCTGACACCACATGCCATGCCAGCCCCATCTACTAGATAGGCTGAGCTGGCCACAGAGTCTGGGCATAGTGGTGTACGCCTATAATCCCAGCTCTGGGAAGGCTGAAAACAGGAGGATCACTATGAGTCCAAGCTGCATAGTGAGACCCTGCAAGAACCAAATACATTAAAAATGAAAAAAAGATGTCCTTGTCCTTGAATACCTACCAAGGAGAAATATGTAAGGCTTAATTTTTATTTATAAGACTGGAATACACAATCACAAGAGTATTAGTTGGAGTGTTTAAATTCACTAATAAAATGCAAAAATGACAAAGGAACTTCTATGTACAAAAGATAAATTTAAAGGTCAGTTTTTATTCCATAATAAGAATAACAGCATACACAAAGGGATCATTTCATAAACACTGATCTAAAACTTTTATACGTGTCACTTTACTTTCTTCCTGGGGGAGGGAAAGACGGGCATTCTTTGGCATCATTTATGAAGTTTCTGCTTGCATCGTGTCTACAGTGCTTACCAAAGTCTAAGGAGGGCCTGGAATGATGCATTTAGCTGATCCATTCTTAAACATCTTCAAGCTTTTCCCTCCGCTATGGGCCAGCTCCAGCAGAGTGTGGTGGCTAGAAAGATCCGGACAGAGAGCCTAGAGCTGGGGTTGGAATTGTTCTTCTGGATCTTCCTGGCTTCTCTGTTCCTTTCTGGCCTTTCAAATGGCCTCGTCCTGGTCCGCATATGCGCCAAGCCAGCAGGTGGCGCTCCAATGCGCGGGGCACAAACCGGCTCCCACATGTGAGGAGCCTGCTGCTTGCGGCAGACCTGTGCGGGGCTTCACAGAGCAGAGGGACCGGTCCAGCTCTTCACACTGCATGTCACTTTGGTAGTTTTTACTGTTTTTCTTTTTTCCACTAAGAAATTTGGCTCTTTTTTCCCTTTGTAAGGCAAATTTCAGGTCAACCTTGTGAACCATATTTTAAAGCTTTTCTCAGCACCCTTGCTGAGGGGCGGGGCACCCGCCCTGTGCAAGCTGGTGGACTCCTATCTGCGCTGCTGCTGTACCTCACTCCGAGTGCTGTCTGGGGCATGCTCCTAAAAGAGCGACCTGTGAGCGGTGCAGTAATCCTTATTGAACAATCCTCTCCTGTCTCCGGCCTCTCCAGGTGAACTGTGCCTTTGGAGTGTTGCTCTGTGGGAGTCACAGGGAAGCCTGGCCACTGGCATCCGTGCAGCAACCAAGAGGCAGCGGCTCCTTCCGCCGCTCCGAGATTGTGAGTCTGTCCTGGGAAGCACACGCATGGCCATGGCAAGCCAAACTCTGTCAAACTGCTTCTGAACAGTGTAGGGCCATGGAGCCTGGCCCAGGGGGGGGACTGGGTCCCCCACCCAGGGACACATCCTCCTGGCTCTTGGGCCACTTGCTGGGGACACAGGGCTGGGACCTGTCCCACCACGTGGTACAGTGGTGGCTTGGGCCCATCGCTGTCCTAATGCCCAGGCCCAGGACCTCCAGCCCCACGAGAGACGTGACACCTTGCTCAGATGTGCCGGCCCGTCAGGAAGAAGAGGGGCCGATCCTCCTTGGCATTGGCCGTCTGGAACTCATCCCGCAGCCGGAACTGCCACTCATCCTCCAGCTCCAGGCGCACAACCGTCTGACGGAGTGAGTTCCGGTCCTGACAGATCACGCACAGCGTGGCACCTGGGTGGCAAGGAGGGCAGGGGCGTGAGGAGAGCTGTGTTTCTGAGAACCAGTCTCACTACGCAGCCCAGGCCGGCCTGAAAGTCACGGCAGTCCTCCTGCCTCAGGTTCCTGAGTGCTGGCATGACAGGTATATGCCACCGTGGCCACTCCCGAAATACTCTCTGGAGAGGTAGGTCAGGGTAAAGGTCAACTAAGGGCAGGGGAGGGTCAGCAGATTTGAGCAGGATTGGCAATCATTTTCTAATGACAGGTAGACTATCAACCTCTCTACCAGAAAGAGGAGAAAAGCTGGAGAGACGACAAAGGAGACTGCAGGACCTCGGGCCAGGAAGGGCCTCTCAGGAGACCCGGGCATGGATGCAAAGGGTTTGGGTGGAAAAGGAAAGTGGAAGGTGAGGATACTGCCACTTGCCTACAAGAAAGCAGACAGGTTGCCTTCCTTAACTCGAGGGGTGTAAGGCCAAGGTCCAGCCCTGGGTGGCTGCTCGTTTCCCTAATGGTTCCAGTCATATCCTCTCTCTGAGCCTCAGTTTACCCACTGGCAAACAAGGCTTAGGAGGAGAAGGTGCTGTCTCAGAGAGGACAGGTGACAATGGCCATTCCAGGTAAGGTCCAGGCACAGACGGTTACCTTGTAGGAAGTGGAACTGTTTCAGAAAGCCAGCCCCCACGAAGGAGTCGCACAGGTACAGCAGGAGCCCACTGAACGTCAGGTTGGAGCAGCTCACATTCATGGAGTGTGGCCGGGAGCTCACGTAGCAGACAGAGATCTGCGGAAGAGGAACCCGAGGCCGTCACTGTCTGCAAGGAGTCAGCAGCGCTACCTCTGGTGTCTACAGCGAGCAGAAGCCAGCTGCTCAGCGGCACATAGACTGGCAGGAGGTACGTGCATGCTGTTTCTAAATCTGCATCCTAAAAGCCAGTGCCAGAGGCCACTCCAGATTAGCTGTGAGGTGTGATGAACGGACACATGAATGTTTAAATTCTTTAAAAATGTATCATATTTATTTTATTTTATTTTTTTGGTGGAACTGGGGATCGAACTCAGGTCCTTGAGCTTGCCACGGAAGCACTTATTCCACTGAGCCATCTCCCCGGCCCAAAATGTATCATATTAACACGTGCTATTATGAATCCTCCTCAGACTCCTTCCATTCACTTCCCATATGCTCATCCCATCGTCCTTGCCACTTTCTGCAGCAGCTCTGGAGTCCTCTTCTGTCAGTGTCTTTACCAGCTGTGATCACAAACACACCGAATGCTGCTGCCACGTGCTGCCCCGCAGAAAGGCAGCTGATAAACATGTGACACTGTGTTCTCATCCAGCTTAATCACCAGATCAGGCACCACACAACTTCTGGCTCTTCCCCTAAGTCACAGTGACCAAGAAAGGACATGGAGGTAGCCAGGATGTACAGTTAAAGACACTGAGGAAAGAACACCCCAGAGCTGCTGCAGAAAGCAGCAAAGAGGGTGGGATGAGCATGCTCAAAGCAAGAGGAGGATTTTAAGTGGGATTCATAGCATTAGGTCTTTTAATGCAGTGGGTTTTTTGTTGTTGTTGGGTTTTTTTGTTTGTTTTTTTGTTTTGTTTTCTTTTGTTTTGCAGAACCGGGGATTGAACTCAGGCCCTTGTGCTTGCCGGGGAAGCACTTATTCCACTGAGCCATCTCCCCGGCTCCGTAATGCAGTGTTTTTAAGAATTTAAACATTCACCCTATTTTCCAATCATACCTCATACTCACGAATTCCTTTAAGAACCAAAAATGTCTAGGCATCTAATTTGGATTTGATTCCTAACATATTGTTTGGATAAAAGCAGCTCAGCTCTCTCAGCCTCCACTGCCAACCATCAAGTGGGATAAACTCCAAGACAGGCATTGGGTAGAGCCAGTCCTCTGTATCCATCATACTTCTAGACTCATAAACATATCTGAAACATAACTGCGTGGTGCAGGATAAGCGAGCCAGAATTTATTTTATCTATCTATCTATCTATCTATCTATCTATCTATCTATCATCTATCTATCTTTATATCTATCTGTTTAGTGGTACCAGGGATCCAACTCAGGACCTTACACTTGCCAGAGAGGCACTATACCACTAAGCTGCCTGGCCCAGACAGCTGATCATAGGTGCAAACATTAGCAGCGAACTTTATATTCTGTGACACTAAAGGCCTGAGAAGAAGGTGTTGGTACCCAGGGGGTCCTGGGACCAGTCTCCATGGATACCGAGGGATGCTGCAGCTATAAAACAGAGTGCGTTGTCCTGGGGGCCCCTCTGCAGAGCATCCTGTGCCAGGTTACCTGAGGCCCCAGGTTAAGGTAGCAGTCCACAGAGAGCACAGGGTGGCTGTGGTTCTTCAGGGACAGTGGGAAGAAGCGGTGGCTATGGTGCTGGAGGAATTTCTCCAGCAGGAGCTGGGCTGGTGCCGCGAGGAATGTGTGCTTGCTGTCCGGGGCACAGATGTACTGGGCTGGCACAACAGCCGCAGAGCTGTCAGACACCTGTGGGGGGTGTGGGGAACAGACATCAGGCCACTGCTTGTCCCAGGGCTTGGCGGCCAAAAGAAAGGCAGGGTGAAATTCCAGAGTCAACCACCACAGCACACTTCAAAACTAAAGTTCTTCATTAAGAAAAGTTAGAGGGCCGGCCAAATAGCTCAGCGGATTAAAGCGCCTGCAAGCAGGCACAGTGGCTAGGGGTTCAATCCCCGGGCCAGCCATGCCGGCTCTGCCCCCGGGTGCACTGAGACAGCAATTGAGACTGGGCATGGTGGTGCACACCTGTAATCCCAGCTCTTGGGAGGCTATAAACAGGTGGATCACTATAAGTCTGGTAGTAAGGCCCTAAACACCCTGTAGATCCTTCCCTAAAATACAAAAAAAAGAAAGAAAGAAAAATTAGGTTTTGAGCCAGGAGTGCTAGCACACACCAGTAATCCCAGCCCTCAGGGGACTAAGGCAAGAGGACTGTGCATCTTAGAAAGACCTTGTCTAAAAAAAAAAAAAAAAAAAAAAAAAAAAAAAAAAAAAAAAAAAGAAAACAGAGCTAACAGGTTTAAATGATACTGAAGAATATGAAAAATATTAGTTTTAAAAGCAAGTCAGAAAAAAAAAAGCAAGTCAGGCTCTTTGGTAGAAAGACTTAAAATGGGAAAAACCTCAAGTTTCTCTAAATTAAAGCACACATCTAACACAATTGAACTGTAAAGATTCTCAGCAGGGAGGGTAGCCAGGAATTGAATGTAGTAACTCCCAATTCTGCTGTAAGACCAGCCTCATATTTTGTTTCCTGGTTTTTGTTTGGGGTTTGGTTTGATTCTATTTTATTTGCAGTACTGGGTATTGAACCCAGATTCACAGTGAGCTACTTTCTCAGCCCTTTCTCCTTTTGTTCTTTTTGAGACAGGGTTTTTTTTCTTTTTTTCTTTCTTTGGCAGAACTGGGGATTGAACTCAGACCCTTAGCGCTTGTCAGGGAAGCACTTATTCCACCGAGCCATCTCCCCAGCCCTGACACAGGGTCTTGATAAGTCACTAAGTTATTAAGCTCTGGGCTGGGCTCCAACTAGGGATCCCTTGCCTCAACCGCCTAGAGTGCTGGGATCATAGGTGTGCAACCCCATGGCCAGCTCCCATCTTGGGCTTGAAGGTCCTGCCCATTTCCAGGACAGGCATTATTCCTGGAGGAAGCTTCAAGCCATCTATGAGGCAGCTACATCTGTACCCAGGCCTGACCAGGCAAGCAGGTCATTATGCAAGTGCTGGAGGGGACCAGAAAGTCAGGGTTGGGCCAAGTATCCAGTGTCCAAAGCAGCTGATGTCCTACCCTGGCTGCCCCTGCCAGGGGCTGTGCCCACCTCGCCCTGCTCCTGCTCACCTTGGATGTGATGTGGAAGGCGCGCTGGCCGCCCACTGCAATCTGCTTCTTCATCACTCGGAAGCGGTTGAAGCGGCAGAGCAAGAGGCCAGCGCTGTGCACACGCAGGTTAAAATCCACGTCATCACATGTGAACCTGCCGATCAGAAGGGGCCATGGGACAGAGCCCAGCACAGCGTGCCTGGCTGTCCCCAGCACAATGTGTGAAACCAGACATCATCCCATTTTTTGGTTGTTTTGTTTTTTGAGACAGGGTCTTACTATGCAGTCCAGGCTGGCCTTGAACTCACTATAGAGCCCGGGCTGGAGGGCCTCAAACTCACAGAGCCCCTCCTGTCTCAGCTTTGTAGCTGCTGGATTTTAAGTATGCACCAACATACCCTTTGACCATTCCATTTGTTAAAAAAAAAAAAAAAAATGCAGAAGTCTTAGAATAAAACTGTGGATTCTTTTTTGCTTTTTTCTTTTTTACAGTACTGGGGATGAAGCTATGGCCTCTTGCGTGCCCAGCAAGCCCTCTCCCACTGGCCTGCAGCCCAGTCCTGGCCTCTGTAATAGCCAAGGTCAAGGAGCTGAGCGAGGACGCCACTGCCCACACAGCAAAGACCCTGCGTGTGGAGCCCAGGTGCTGTGAGGCCATCAGTCTAGCTCCCAAGCTGACAATGTACATTGCCGTCAGGGCCTGTGCCCGCCACCTGGCACAGACAGGAGTGACAGAACCATACCGTGACTGCTGCTGCCCAGCACCAACAGAAAGGCAGCTGGTAAGCATACAACGGTGTGCCCTCCTCCTCCTCCTCCTCCTCCCCAGCCACCAGGTCTGGCACGGTGTGACTGTGACTTCCCCAAAGTCAAAACAACCACGAGAGGGAGACATTTCGAACCCCATCAGGACACCGAGGCAGCCAGGACAGTCCTCAGGAAAGAGGAGCCTGGAGCTGCTGCAGACATGCTGAGGCGGCGGGGCAAGCAGGGCGAGCAGGCTCCAGGCGAGGGGAGGACCGTGCGGGGACTCGCGGTGACGAGGCTCTCACTGGAACACGTTTTTAAAATCTAAACCTTTGGGGGCTGGGGAGATGGCTCAGTGGAATAAGCGCTTCCTGCGCAAGTGGAAGGGCCTGAGTTCAATCCCCGCAAAAAAAAAAAAAAAAAAAACACACACAAAATCTAAACCTTTGTCACATATTTCAACAACACCTCGCAGAGACCTTCCCTAGACACGGGGGCCAGGGTGTAGCTGAGCGACTCTCACAACAGCCCCTCAGGGGCACTCGCATGGCTCACCGGTTCTGGTTGTACTGCACGTTCTGCGTGAGGTCCACGTTCAGGATAACAAAGTCATGCACGTGGCAGCGTGAGAAGGGCTCACGCACATCGCAGCCACGCGTCCTGCTGCCCCACTTGCGCAGGCCGATGAGCGCGTAGTGGGTGATGTTGGGCGAGGCCTCGATGTGCTGCATGATGTGCTTCAGCGACACGTTCCGCTCTGACCACGAGAACTCCCTGCCCATGGGACGGAGGCTCATGGGCCTGAGCTGCAGCAGCCTGCAGCACCACCTTCCCGGGCTCCCCAGGCTCCCCGGGCCCCACCGTGCACAGAACCCCGCCTGCCACCCCAGGTGGGGGCACAGACCCCAAAGTGAATGTTGCAGGCTGCACCTCAGCCAGCATTTCTTTGGGCAAAACATGTTCACATCCTGCCATGCACGGTGGCATACGCCTGTAACCCTGATACCAGGGAGGCTGAGGCAGGAGGATTTCCATGAGCTCAAGGTCAGCCCGGACTACACAGTGAGATCCTGTCTCAAAAATAAATTAATAAAATAATTAATTAAAGGCTGGGCTTGGAACATGGGCTTGCTTCCTCCCCATGTATGTATACATTTATTTGCAGTCTTCAGCCCTGAACCTGGGGCCTGGCGCTGAGCTGCATCCCCAGCCCTTTTTCCTTCTTTTTTATTGAGACAGGTTCCTACAAAAGGTTGGGCTCAATCTCGCAATTCTCCTGCCTTAGCTTCCCGGGGTGCTGGGATTCCAGGGCCCTGAAGTCTGAGGCAGCGCCTGCCCAGCCCCTCACCGGCTGCGCTCCCCGGAGCAGTCCACATCCACCACATTCCACATCACACAGGAGTCATCAGCGATGACAATGAAGGGCCAGATGTCCTGCGGCTTGATGCCCAGCTCCTCCTGCCGGCTGCGCTCCAGCTCCAGGTTGTGGTAGGACAGCTCCTTGATGAGGAAGTGGGCAGCACCTGGAAGGCCGAGGTGTCTGCCTCAGTGGTCTGCACAGCTCAGCACAAAGTGCCAGCCAGGCAGGCCAGTGCTTAGGCTGCATATGAATCTGGCTTCCTTGACCCGCAGGGCTGAGGCAGCACCCTCTCCAGGGTGTCCATACGCCTGTCCTCCACTACCAATGGAGAATGTGAGTCGGGCCGGTCACCACGCCACCTACCAACTCCGGCGCTGTTGAAGATGCTGGGCAGGACCAGCATAATATGGTTGGGCCAGTACTTCTTGTAGATGGCCATCTCGTACTCCTTCACCACCAGCACATGCAGGTGGCTGGCACCATCCATGGCGTGGTACAGGTTAAAGAGCCCGTGCTCATGCCGGCCGGTCGTCGGCGTGAAGGTTGGGCTTTTTATATACTCCTGACTCTGCAAAGTGGAGATTAAGAAGGGCTGGTCGGCAGGGTTGCCGCTACTCCCCTCTCTGCTGGGGCTGCTCTGTTTTGTTTTGCTTTGCTTTGCAGGGGTGTGGACTGATAGTCCCCACCTCTGAGATGCAGTTTTGCAGGGTCTCACATGAAAGCTGGGGCCTACTTTACAGGGGACTTAGGAGTGGACCTGGCTAATAGAATGCAGGAGAAATGAGCCCTGCTGGCCCTGAGCATGCATGATGCAGAGCTGTCCCCTGAATGTGACTCGCAGGGATGTAGGCTGGGACTAGGGCCAGCCGAAGTGACAACATGAGCTAACCCAGCCCAGAGGAACTGCCCCACCAGACCCTGCCCAGACAGATAGGCGCCTTCCCCAGGCCGCATCCACTGGCCTTCGTGCTAGAAGCCAGGACATGGGGCTGGCATTAACCTGGGCATGCAGGCCCTGCGCATGCTGGAAGGGGGCCGACTCGAATCCCTCACACACGTCTGTTCACACACACAGTTGGGAGTTGTGAGGAGACGTCGTCACCCTGGCGGCCCTCAGGAAGAGGCTTGGCTCAGCTGCCCCAAAGTCCTGTCACTCCTGCTAGCCTGTTCTGGTCACGAGGCTTTGGGCAGACATGCCCTCTGTGTTGCACTCACACAGCCACTGCACCCTGACCCAGCTGAGGTGGCTTACTTTTGAGTTTACTTGTTTGGTGCTGGGGATGGAACACAGAGCCTTTGTGCTGAGCTGCACCCCTCGCCTTTTTTGAGACAAGGTGTCACCAAGTTGCTAAGGTGCCCAGGCTGGGCTTGAACTGAAATCCTTCTGCCTCGGCCTCCCAGCTCTCAGCAACTTAGTGACTTAGGGAGACCTTGTCTAAAGTCAAAAAGTAAAAATGGCTGGGGATGTAGCTCTATACAATCTCCATTCCATTCTCAGTACCACACACACACACACACACACACACACACACAGCCTTATAGGTGAGGAAACTGAGGCTTGAGTACGGGCAAGGTTCTCACGGCCCTCGTGCCCCCATCCCATAGCCCCCAAGGCCACCCACCTGCACACCCACCACCTACCGTGTCAGTGACCAGGGGCAGGCGCATGCTCTCCAGCTGGCCCCCCGGCTGACTGAACACGAAGTGGTGCTCCTTCGACTTGGGGATGATGAAGTGCAGCTGGATCTCCTCTCCTAGCATGGAGTAAGAGAAGGCAAAGGCGTGCAGGGTGGACTCATAGAGCTGGGGCGAGGGAGAGGACACAGCCGTCACCAGACGCCGTGGCCAGCCCCAAGATCCCGGGGCCAGGAGACCGGGACCACGCTCAGGTCACGGACGCCCAGGTCACACACGGCAGCAGACTGGTCCCGTCCTGCCTCCTGGGCACACATAGCCCACCTGTCACTTCTGCCAACAGATCTGCTGCTGTCTGGCTATGACCTGGACCGCCACCATGCACGGTGCATGCCTACCCCAGCAATGCAGCGCCCACGTGTGCTAGCCCCCAGGGTCTTCCCAGAGGAGCCAAGGGTGCGGTGTGACGGAGACCCACACACACCTGTGATTCAGCAGCCCCATTTGAAGAGCTAAGGCTCAGCTCAGTGGACACAGAGCCGCACCCCTTTCGGCCACTCACTGGCCCTTCTCCTCTCCCACTCGGGCCCAGGACAGCTTCCCTGGCTGGACCTAGCAGCCTGCTCTCAGCCCCACCAGGGTGGTGAAGCCCCCTCCCCCAACAGTACTTGGACCAGAAGTGTTCAGATCTGGGGGGTATGGGACCTGGATGTGTGCAGAGGCTCTGCCGTGTGAGCAGCCCTTCTCTGACCCCTGAAAGGTCTGAGCATCAGTCAGGGTGGATTTCAGATGTTCGGATGAGGATGAGGAGGTTCTGGTGCGAAGGAGCAAACCAGGAGGGGCAGCTTCCCAGCTGGTTCATCCTGAGCACAAATCAGAGATAGCTGGAGCCCTGGGCTGGGCCCCTTAGCCTCTTGTGTCAGTCCAGGACATATGAACTTCTTTCTTTTCCTCTCTTCTTTCCTTTTTCTGGTACTACAGATTGATACTGGAGTCATCACATAGAGTGACATTCTCAGGACTTTAAGCAAATTTTTTTTTTTAATTTTGAGACCACATCTCACTAAGTCACTAAGTTGTCCACGCTGGGCTTGAACTTGAGATCCTCTTGCCTCAGCCTCACAGAGGGCTGGGATGACAGGTGTGTGCCACCATGCCTGGCTGGAACAAATACTTTCTATCACAGAAGATCGAGGGAGGGCCGGCAAGATAGCTCAGCAGCAAATGCAGGGACTAGGATTTAATCCCTGGCACCACGTGCTGGGCTGGCCCCGCCCCCCAGGCACACTGAACTAGCCACTGAAACCAGGTGCACACCTGTAATCCCAGCTCTGGGGAGGCTGAAAACAGGAGGATCACTAGGAGTCCAAGTTGCATAGTGAGACCCTGTAACAAATACATAAAAAAGAACAAAGAACATGGGAAGGACTGACAGGAAAAGCAGCTAGGCCTCTGGAGCACACAACAGGTGCTCAGTAGTGCAAATTCCTCCCTTTAGTGCTGTACTTTCTAACGCTCAGCCCAGGGGTCCCTGTGTTCTGAATCTTGCTCAGTGTAGGTCTCCTTCCCAGACTGAGCCCTGAGGATGCTGTCCACGCCCATGTCTCCGTCCCTGAGGCCTGGGACACAAGCACAGGAAGTGTGCACCCACAGCACCAAGCTGACATCCGGAACTGCTAGGAGCTGACAACGAGGAAACCAGCAACGAGATGCTGAAGAGAGGGTGTTGGGGACGCGCAGGAACCCGCTGTCTCGCCCAGGAGACAGTCACCGTGGGCCGCCAGGTGGGTTAAGCCCAGGCCTACCTGGCAGTGGAGGCGGGAGCCCAGGTAGTGCTGGCACTGCTCGCAGTGGTGATAGGCGCTGTGTGCCGCGTACTTGGACAGGCGCATGCGGGCCGTCCGCCGCCGAGGGGGCGGGTCCTCAGGCCTCCGGCTCCCTCTGTCTGCACAAAAGCCCGAGTCACAGAACATGGGGCAAAGCCATCATCCCGCACCTGCGCGTCTCTACCAAGTGTGGCCAAAGCTCCAGTGACTGCCGCTGCCAAGCACCACCCCACAGAAAGGCAGCTCTGAAGCCACACCACGGTGTCCCGTGTCCCGAACCACCTCAGTCATGGAAGCTGGCACCTTGTGACCTCCGGCTCCTCCCCAAAGTCACAGTGACCACAAAAAGGAAATTTTTAACCCATTCAAGATCTTGAGGCAGCCAGGACAGTGCAGCTGAAGACCCTCAGGAAAGAGGACTCTAGAGCTGCTGCAGGAAGCAGCAAGGACGACGGGACGAGTGGGTGCCGAGTGAGGGGCCTTGGAGGGGATTCACAGCAATGCATTTTTTACTGTAATAACATTTTGTTAATATCCCCGTATATTTCTATCACACTTCCTGCTTACAGGCCTACCAGATGCCAGTTTAAATTGAGTGCTGACTTAATATGCAAATACTGAAATGCTGATGAATTGTCTTGATTTTTTTTTTCTTCCAGTGGTTTGGTAAGATTATGGGATTTTAGGGCTGGCTAGATAGCTCAGCAGATTGAAGCGCCTGTTTAGGCAGACCCAGGGGCCTGGGGTTCTATCCTCAGCGTGCCCATGCCAGCCCACCCCCAGGGCACACTGAAATGGCAACTGAGACTGGGCATGGTGGTGCCCACTTCTAATCTCTACACTTGGGAAGCTAAAAAACACGAGGGATCACTACGAGTCTGATTTGTGCAGTGAGACCCTGTAATAAAAAAAAAAAAATGCATTAAAAAAAAAAGATTAAGGGATTTTTGTTGGTCTGTTATTGTTTTGTGGTTTTTCCTGTACTGGGTATTGAGCCCAGGCCCTGAACAACTTCCCCCGATCTTTTATTTTTCATTTTGAGAAAGGGTCTCACTAAGTGCTAAAGTGGTGTCATGGTTGCTCCTTCCTCCTGTGGACAGGTGCCCACTGGGTTTGGAAGCCAGTGTGGCTGCGTCAGTCACCACCACCAGATTCATCATTAAAAAGACACAGCTAAGCCCAGCGAGTTCTATTAATATAGTAAGTGCCATGTGCTGGACATCATAGTGGGCGCCTGTGACCCCAGCACTCTAAGGGGCTGAGGCAGGGGAATCTCAAGAAGCCAAAGCTGGGCAACCTAGTGACTTAGCAGGTAAAACAGAGTCCAGACTGACCTTTACTCTTGACACCCTGCTGGTGGGAACAGATCAGACTGGCGTCCTCATACTTGGGGTCGTGGATGATGTAATCAAAGGGCATCTTCCGGAACAGCTCCAGGTCTGGCCAGGGATCACTAAACTGGGCATAATGCCACTCGGGTTCTTCCTGGGGGCCTGAGCAATGACAGGGACAAAAGGCAACATGGGAGAGAGAAGGGTCTGTTTCACTGTGTCAGGAATAAGACAGGAGCAGAGTTGCTCCTAGCTTCCTGGGGAGGCTGAGGCAGGAAGGTTGCTGTACCTCAGGAACTCCTGCAAGGTCCCATTGAACTGCAGGCTGTGCCTGTGAGGTGACCATGCCCTCCAGGGGACAACTCTGCCTTTCCCTGCGGGCATGGGCTGGGCTCTGTCTACACAGTGGCACGGCTCTGCCCAGGTCCTGCCCAAGCCCTGGGCCTGAACCTTGTCCAGCGCCACCACTCAGGGACCACAGGGCTAGCACACTGGGACCTTGACAATTTACCTCCTACCCACTGCCCGAACATTTGCAGCCCCAACCCCACCTCCCACCACCAGTGCCAGCATCCCCAGTGTCCCCAGCAGGTGCTCAGCGAACCTGTTCTGGCTGCATGGGGGCAGTGAGGTCGTGCAGCTCAGGTGACTTAATGCGCATTATGTAACTCATTGTCTACAAGCACCGAGAAGTCAGTGTGCAATGACTCGGGCACATGCTCAGAAACCCACATCTGTCATCCCAACACTCTAGAAGGCTGAGGCAGGAGAACCTCAAGTTCCAGCCAAGCCCAGGCAAGTTGGTGACTTAGTGAGAGCTTGTCTCCAAATAAAAAATCTTAAAAGGGGCTGAAGGCTGCTCAGTGTGAGGGCCTCGGGCTCAATCCCCAGTGTTGGAAAAAAGGAGAAGTGGAAGCGGATGGAGATGAAGGTGTCTGTGTTAGACAGAGGCCCAGTGCTTCCTGTACACATTTAATCTTCCTAACATTCTGCACAACCTCTACTTTGCAAGAGAATGTTGAGGCAATGGCATGTTTTAAAGCGGGCCTGGGTATCTGCTGAAGTGGGTTCCGATCCTGCCCCTGTACTGGTCTCTTCCCAGAAGCATGGAGACAGCCCTGCAGCAACCTGGTGACCTTGGCCACTATGGGGACCGCAGACCCAAGCCAAGCAGAGGTAGGGGCAGGCGGGCAGGGCCCTGGTTCTGTACTCAGCCATCAGCAGCCTCACATCGATGGAACACCTCCAGGGCCAGGGCCACCATGTGAGGACAGCAGGCTCTGCCCAGTCCGCTTCACCAACTGGAGGTTGTGTCTCACAGGAACACAGTCCACAAGGAGAAGCAGGGCTGGCTTTGCCGGGGACATCCACTCAGGAGCTAAGCTGCACGGGAGCCCCACTTTCCGTTTATTTCTCATTTGGCCCAAGGTGTCCCCTGCGTGTCCCCTGCCTGCTCGGCCACCACCTGCTGGGCACCTGTGTGTCTCAGCATCAGGACAAAGGGACAGCATCATTCTGTGGTGATGCAGGAAGACAGACGTGGTGCGTTATACACGGCAGATGGCTGGGAAGGACCAGGAAGGAAATGCCTAGGCGCCACTTCCTCTGACCACCCAGAATCTTTCCGCTTTAACTTTTCTCTTTCTAACAGTTAAAATATCTCACTGGACATGTTGTGGCATGTAAGGATCACAGTCCCGGGGCGGGGAGCTGGCACGGGACACAGCACTACTTCATTCCTTTTGCAGCCCTGCTGCCCCCATCTCTCGGTTCCCTCCCTTTTTCCAAAGATCTATCTCCTTTCCCCTATGATCTATCTTTTATTCTACTCTAGCTCTCCGTTGACTGTCTCACCTAAAAGAAATCTCGTGTGCCTGATTTGCTTCACTTAACACTACGGTCTCAAGGTGCATCCACTTTGCTATACATGCTTCAAGTTTCTGCTTGTTCATGGCAGAATAGTACTCCACCGTGTGTAAGCACCACTTTTTCTCTACACATTCATCTGCTGGCAGACATATAGGCTGCCTCCAACATCGAGCTGTTATGAGTTATTTAGCACCAGTAATCCTACACCCGCAAAGCCCTCCGTGGTTGAGCTCTGATACCAAGAGAAAGGACAGAGGGAAAGTACAGCAAGGCCTTCAGGAGGAGAATGTCCTCCTGCCTGTGACAGGCACAGTGACAGACGCTGGGGCACGGGTGGAATCAGGAGAGCCCCGGAGCCACCGCACATGTGACTTGCTCACCGGGGTTGATCTCCTCCTCATCATACACGTCCACCTCCGTCAGCCGCAGGAGCATCCTGGACAGGTTGCTGAGGAACTGCAGGTAGGCGCCCGTCTTGCCGATCTGCAGAGACACTGCGTGAGGGATTCCTGCCACCTCTTGTCGTGCCTGGAGAGCTAGCCTGGAGCCCAGGCGGGGGCAGGGACACAAGAGCAGCAGGCCCGGGGCCTGGCCACCCGAGTCTGCCCCACCTGCACTGCCATGATGGTTTTACTATCTATCTATCTATCTATCTATCTATCTATCTATCTATCTATCTATCCATCCATCCATCCATCCATCCATCCATCCATCCATCTATCTATCTGATACAGGGGCTTGCTATGCAGTTCAGACTCAGTGATCCTCCTGTATCAGCCTCCCCGGTTCTGGGATTACAGGTGTGTGCTACCATGCTCAGTTTCAGGGCAGGCACAGCACACCAAGGACTCTGGGGCCAGCATGTTTGCAGTAGCGGGGACTGAACTCAGGACCTTGCATTTGCTAGGCAGGCGCTTATGCCACCGAGCTACCTCCTCAGGGCTGCTGCAGTGGTTTTGATGGCTTTTGCAACATTGGGAATGGAACTCAGGGCCTTCATGCTGAAATGTGTCCCCAACCCTTTCCTTTTTTTAATTTTCAGACAGGATCTTGCTAAGTTGCCCAGGCTGGGCTGGAACTCACTGCCCTCTCACTTTAGCCTCCCAGAGTGCCAGGATGACAGATACGCACCACCATGCCCAGATGTCAGCCATGCCTTAGAAAAGGCTTTCTCACAAGCTGAAGAAAGTTTGTTTCACAATGAAAGGAACTGACCATACAGAACTTTAATCTTCAAGGGATCTTGCAGAAGACAGTCAGGTGAAACCTACTTCCCCTCCTGAGTCCAGGGACAAAGCAGCTGTCTCCATCCTTCTCTGTCCTCTGGGGTTGCACAGGCCCCTGCTCCCCACCTACACACAGCCGATGGACTCTCTGTGTGTCCCGTTTGCTCAGTTACCTCACTGCTCCACCCGGCCACCAGTCACCCAGCACCTCATGCTGCAGGCCTGAGCCAGCTACTGTTCCACAGCAGGAGCTCAACAAAGCCTGGCAAACAGGGCCGACCAAATAGCTCAGTGGATTAAAGCACCTGCAAGCAGGCACAGGGGCCAGGGTTCCATCCCCAGGCCCGCCACTAGCCCTGCCCCCGGGGAGCACTCAGAAGGCAACTGAGATGGGGTGTGGTGGTGCACATCTGTAATCCCAGCTCTTGGGAGGCTGTAAACAGGCCGATCACTACAAGTCTGAGTCCAATCTAGTAGTGAGACCCTGAATACCCTGTAGACCCTTCCCCCGACCCCATCCCCCAAAAACAAAAGCAAAAAAAGCCCAGCAAACAAAAATACTAACTTCAAAAAAGAAAACAGAGGGGCCAGGGAGATGGCTCAGTGGAATAAGTGCTTCCCTGGCAAGCACAAGGGCCTGAGTTCAATCCCCGGTTCCGCAAAAAAAAAAAGAAAAAGAAACATTTTTCAAAAGTAGACACAAAGT